ACCTTCCACCACGCTACTGAGCGTGCGTGGTGGAAGTGGTGATCTCACACGAATTGGCCAAGGGAGAAGCTGGTGTATGTGTGTGTGTGTGTGTTTTTATTACTAGTATCGACCGCGCTAACCGGATGACCAATGAAAAGACGTCAGTCTTAGTGCGGTTGAAAACACAAAACACTTCTATCTACCATGAACTGGGACCCCGTGAGGGGGCAGCATGGGGGAGGCTAAACTATCCTTCGGATTAAAAACAGAAACAGCAGCAACAGACAAAAAATGCACGCGTCTACCAAGGCTATTACCTAGTACTCGAGTTCGTTTAGGAGTACTTTCACCAGTGTCCTCCTTGTTTTCGCTACCATCATTCTGATCCTCATTTCGACAAGAAGAATCTCTGGGCAGTTCTTCCCTAGCCCTACGTTTCTTGTTGTGGGGAAGGTCATCTGGCTCAAACCCTTTGCTCTCTTCCACTCCTCCATGTTTTTCTGCTCCATCGTCGTCATCCTCCTTTCTCCCCTTTCCCTTTCCTTCGTCTTCGTCACTCCCAAAAGAATTACCCTCATTACTATCGTTGTCGCAGAGATCCCAACCGATTGGCCCTGGTGGAAGTTGGTCGATCAGTAGCCCATGACGTTTGAACACATCGCGAGTTCGCATCGACAGAAAACGAGCTAGCTCGAAGGTAAACCGTCTCCGAATCCTGTTAGTATGAAAAGCTTTCAGGCGAACTAAGGCCCTCTCGTCGTCAAAATTTCCCCTGCAAAAAGCTTCGTGCGCCAAGTGGTTGGCGATAGCAACGATGAGTCGATTGGTGCCTTTGCCAAGACCACCATTCGTTGAAAAAGCAGCAGTAAGGAGGGTAGATCTAGACGGGTTGAAAGTTCCCGCATAGTGATTTGCCTTACTTGCAGCTCGATCTTCGAGGGCTGATCCTGGCTTAAGGATCGACTTGTCGATGCTTCGACCTGCTGATGGGTTGACGATTGTTACGTCGATCAGAATGGACTTGGTGCAGAGGTCCTCTTCCTTCTCTCCTGCGTGTAATCCTGGGGGGATTACCAAATCCATCTTGTATAGCCCCTTTCCCCTACCAGTGCCTGTGGTAAAAGGGGAAGAATCCTCAACGGCGATGGGCATATGGCACTCGCGCAGTGTCTTGAGGACCACTCGAACCATCCTGTTATGGAGGAAGGTTGAGGCGCCGGTCTTGGTGCAGACGAGGGAGTGGGCTCGGCTCAAGCGGTCCTTGCATGGTAACAATGCACCTGCACCACAAAGTTTGCCTGTGTTGCAGTCTGCTCGATCGTGACTCCCCAGTACACGACCGATTGACTCTCGATATAGATCAGGCAGCATTCTTTCATCTGCTGACAACCCTTGCGTTGTCAACCACGACAAAACTCCCTTGCCTTTCGCTTCCTCCAAGCGGATCAACGCCCTCTTCTTTGGCGTTTCCTCGCCTACTACTTTCTGCAAGTCTGTCTCCACCGCGTGGCGCACTGCTGCATGAAGAGGTTTCGAAAGGAGAGCTTGGACTCCAAAGACTTGGTAGTGTTGACCAAATTCATTTCGGCTGAAGGTAGACGGTGGTTGATGTTCTACGTCAGGGTTTCCATCTTCACGGGGTTTTCCCGCCTTCCCTGCTTCCAACAAGTAAACTCCTTTGAGGGCGGGGGTTAACTCATCACTTGTGGCAAGTTTAGCCCATGACTGCCCAACAGCTTTTTCAAGCTTGTCTTTGGTGATGATTTCCTCTAGCTTCTTCAGCGAGTCAATCAGAGCCAACCCTGTCGGTAGCTGGGCACGCCAGGGTAGACATTGCTCAACTGTGTATCCTGTCGATGCTTGCGCTGACTTGGAGAACACCAGCGCTTGCCCTGCCACAAAAGCCGATTCTCGAATGAGAACATTGCTCGTGATTCCTAGTCCTCCTTCTCGCATGGGTAGGTGCACCTGCGCCCGAGCTGTTCCTTTGAAGAAATCTACCTCCTCGCTTTTCGTCGGGTCTGCGCGTACCTCTTTGACCGTTGGTATTCCCAGGCTGTCGGCTGTCTTGCCAAGGACGATCTTACTCATTGCCCACATCATCATGTTGTCATGTA